CAAATCACTTTTGTTATTATTATTATTGATACTAGCGTTATAGTTTGGGTTTGTAAGGGCAGGAGTAAGATCCACCAAATGACTAAAAGATTATTATTATTCTTATTACTATCTCCTGTGACAGAAAAATTAATTTGGAGTATTGTTTTTCAAGAGAATATGAAAGAGAAGAGAATTAAGGATTTCGACATTGAATTTGGGAGAAACTTCATTCTGTAGTTTTTATGCTAATTCGTACATTTGGATATCTCTGCACAAAAAAAAAGAACTTTACAGAGAAATTAAATACTTGCCTAACTAACTAATTAACAGCCTAAGTCTGTTTACATATATAACCCTGACTATTTACTAAACAAGATTTTCTAGGAGTCCGTATCCAGTGCATCCGAGTGTATGTGCTCCCCCTCCTATTTTTTGCACATATGATCCTTATTGTCTCTTTTTCTCAATCTTTTTATATTTTGTAAATTTAGTGCCTGTTTTTTTTTCTCTCTCTTCTAAAAAACATCTTTAATCTTTAAACGAGCATATTACTCAATTCGTGAACAATTAGAAAAAACACATAAAATTTCTTGTATTCGTCGAGATCTATCCAACGAAATCCATATCGAATATTTTTTTCGAACTTAAAAATGACTAAATTTTGATGGGTAGAAATAAAGAAATTTGTATGAATATCCAGTTTAGAAAAATAGATAACCAACTTATTTTAAATTGATTATCCATTGCGTTCATGTTCATTATCCAACCAGTTTGAACTGATTATCCATTTTGCTTGTACCGATTATCCATTTGGTTTGTATGCCTATCCAACTTGTTTCGTACTTGTAATCCAACGTGTTTGTATGTATATCCAACTTGTTTGTACTGAATATTTATCCAACTTGTTTGTACTGGATATCCATTTGGTTTGTATGCCTATCCAACTTACGTGTACTGGTAATCCAACGAATTTATGTGCTTATCCAAATTGTTTGTACTGGTTATCTAATCATTTTTTTTTGTTTGGAAAAAATCATTATCCAATACACTAATACTAGTTATCCATTTTGTTTATGCTGCTTATCCAATAATTTTTTTTTCTTTGAAACACGGTTATCTAATGTGTTCGTAGTGATTATCCAATCGCTTTGTATTGGTTATCCCATCATTTTTACTGCTTGTCCAAATAAGTTTGCATTACTTGTCCAATCTTTTTTTCTTTTTTTTTTTCTCCCGAGAAAATACTTGTCCAATATGTTCATACTAATTATCCAACTAATTGGTACTGTTTATCCAACTGCTTGGTACTAGTTATCCAACTATTTTTTTTTCTCTCCTCCTTTTTATGAAAATACTTATCCAGTTAGTTTGTACTGATTATCAAATCATCTTGTATTGGTTATCCAATTATTTTTACCGTTTGTCCAAATAAGTTTGTACTGTTTGTCCAATCATTTTTTCTTTTTTTTTTTGCTCTCTTGAGAAAATACTTGTCCAATGTATTCATAATGATTGTACAACTCTTTGCTATTGCTTCTCCAGCTATTTTTTTTATTATTTTTACGAAAATACTTGTCCGATTTGTTTGTACGCGTTATCCAACTAATTGATATTGCTCATCCAACCTAATTTTTTTTTTCTGAAATTGGTTATCCATTGTGTTCATACTGATTATCCGACCGGTTTGAACTGATTATCCATTTCGTTTGTACTGGTTATTCAATCTTTTTTTTTTTAGAAAATCATTGTCCCATGTGTTAATACTGATTATCCAATTAATTAGTACTGCTTATCCAACCTAGTTTTTCTTTTTTATTATTTTTTTTGAAAAAAAAATGATTGTCCAATGAGTTCATATTGATTATCCAACTACTTTGTATAGATTATCTGACCATTTTTTTTCTACTCTTTGCGAAAATCCTTGTCCAATTTTTTTTTTGTACTGGCTATCCAACCGTTTTGTATTGGTTATCTAATTATTTTCACTGATTATCCAAACAAAGTTTTTATTTTTTTTTCTTTTGAGAAAATATGTGTTCAATGTGTTCATACTGGTTATCTAATTTCTTGGTGATGGTTATCCAACAATTTTTTTCTTGTTTTTCTATGAAAGTGATTGTCCAATTTTTTTGTGCTCACTAACCAATCAGTTTGCATTGTTTATCCAATTATTTTCACTGATTATCCAAATTGTTTGTAATACTTATCCAAATATTTTTTTCTTTTTTTTTTCTGAAAAAATGGTTGTTCAACGTGTTTGTATTGGTTATCCAACACAAATAGTTTTTTCGTTTCTGCCCGTAGTATTTTAAATTTTTTATTTATCGAAATTAATATTCTACATTGATTTTATCAGATAGATCTCGTCGAGCACTATAAATTTTATATATAATTCATTTATCAATCACGGATCAATAGATATAGGGAATACAATAATATGAATGTAAAATAATTTGGTTATCCATCTTCTTAAACTGCAGATCCACCTTATTTCTGCCCATCAGAAATTAATTATTTTTAAGTCCGAAAAAATATTTAAAATGGATCTTGTTGGATAGATCTCGATGAGTACTATAAATTTTATACGTAATTCGTTCACAAATTCTTCACGGATTGGGAGATATGCTCGTTTGAAGATTAGAGATGTTTTTTTGAGGAGAGAGAAAAAAAAATAACAGGAACTAAATTTGTAAAATATAGGAAGTTATTTTAAGAAAGAAAAAAAAATTAATGAGGACTAGTAATGAAAAAAATGGAGGGGTGCACCATACTCTCGGGTGCACCCAATAAATTGCTTCCTAGATGAACTATTTACAAAATGGTCCAATCTCTACGAAAAACATATGTGCAAATGTATAAATCAGGAAACGAAGTTACCATCAGAGGCAACATCTTGCAGCAGTAGTTTCTTCAGTTTTCCTTTTCGTTTAAGTATTAGTTTCACATCTTTAGAGATTTAGGGGAAATTATTATTTATGTTTCTAATCTGCACAGACACAGATGTGATACATTCTTACTGATGCTCAACCACAGATTCATCAAGAATTTTCACAATGTGTAAAAATGTAATGAAACGTCATTGGGAGAGGTACAAGAGGATTAATACTCTGAGAGACAATATGTTATTACTTCCACCGGCTTTTATTATGAACCATTTTATTTATTTTAGGTTTCATTTGGTGTTGAAGAGGGTAGCTTTACTTTTGCATTAGCTTGATGAATTTCATGATATTTTGGCAGCATAATGGCAGGGTTATCTTGATTTGATAATGATGATGTTAGTGATTTGAGAAGATCAAGATTCACTGAAGTTTGTAACCCATGTTAAGCTTGAAAGACTAATTACGCTGAGGAGAAGATGCATTGTGAATCAAGAAGTGATTGATAACTGTTTCAACTCCCATTTTAATTAGGAAGTCTTTTCCTTGTATGATGTTCTAGCTTTTCCTTGTTTCGTTGAAATCACAGACCATCTCTCTCATGAGAAATAACAACAAATTAAAAACTGAAATAGGGTTGGTAAATTTGTCGATGAAAGTTCAAAAAAATGTAGCTACATCCACAAAAAAGCATACATGTTAAAATTCTTTCGAACTTGAAGAATAGGCAAAAGACATATTGCTTATTGTAAACCATATTTACCGATATATATGAATCTGATTATTTATTTTTCTTATTACCAATTAATTTTGACGTGTAAGTTGTAACTACGGAGATGTGACATATGGGTTTTTAAGAATACACTTATATATATGGCTATAATTCTGGGATATCGAAAATGCTCCCCTTCAACATCGTGACTAAACTAAAAAAAATTTCTGTCCCATGGATCAGATCATTAAAGCGCAGTAACCCTCAATGCTGTGACTTCTTAACTAAGGATGGCGAACAAGAAATTAAATTCCTTAATGTCACAAGCTGAGCGGACCTAATGCGCGCTTTTGAGTAAGTTTTATAAATTAAGATAAAAAAAAATGATATCTAGTTATAGTGTCACGAATGTTAATTAGTTTATCATATTGGTTTGCATATTGATTGGTAGCCAAGAATGCTGTAGAGCAGCTGGGGTCATCTTCAAACGACAAATTAATCATACGTTATATTGCATACAGATGAAACTAATTTAAGTTTTTGTACCGAAAAAAAATTAATTTAAGTTTTTAAGAAACTCCAGGTGCCAATCATTTTTTTTATTATTATTAAAAAAAAATCCACTGAATTTCAAATGAAGAATTCGAGGGGAATTATGCTGGGGGCAATTTTGGTTGAACGATCGATGGGAAAAACATCATACATTATGACGTGTTATGAATTTGAATTCTTAAGGAAATCCACTATTCGATGGACAAAAATAAAACCAAAGTAAATTAGCATCGGATAAGAATTTCATTCCTAGTATGAGTGTGATATTATAAGTGGAATAGGATGTATTAGCGGAAAGAGTTTAGAGCTTATTAAATACATCTAGCGAGAAGAGATTCATGACTCATATAACTTTTTTTTTGTTTGGATCAGGTTGTGGAAGACGCTTTCCGACCAATCATGAAGAATAATACTCTTAACAACAATAATCACAAAGATGAGGAGGATGAAGAAGACGAGAAAGAGAAACAGGAGGGAAAGAAGTGTCTTCCCATTGAGATCCAAACTGAGATATTGAGCAGATTACCAGTGAAATCTATAGCCAGATTCAAATCCGTGTGCAAGCTGTGGGAATGTGTTATTGATCAAGACCCCAAGTTTGATGAGTTGTTCCACAAACGGTGCAGCAATGAAATCGTCTACTTTGAAGACCCTGGAGAAAAAAAGTTGTGGTGCCTCCAAGTGATGTGGAGTTTGGTCCTGGAAGCGGAACAAAGTTTTCTGACCAGCAGAAGAAAATATCGTATACGGGACCACATAACCAAGTACATTCATTATCTTCCTGATCCCCGGGGAGTTGTCACAGGAATGAAGATGTTCTACTTTGAGAGAACCAACGTTTTTAAGTTGGTTTGTTTGGACATAAGCCAAAGTACAGACAATTCCGTAGGCTGCCAGGTTTTAAAACTCGGGACTGATTCCGTCTGGAGAGACATTGGTAGGTTTTCTGTATCAAAAAGGCTCATTGGAGTCGAAGCTCGAGCGGGTGTAAACTACATCATCGGCTTTAACAAAATCGTTTGCCTGGACATGAGAACCGAGCAGTTTCAATACGCTCAACTTCCTCAGGGTTTATCCACTGATAGGGAAGTCGTAAAGGTATTTCGGTGGGGAGTTGATGGTATTGCTCTTGCTCATCTAGTTGATCAGGAGATGCATGTGTGGATACTAGGAGATTACAAGAAGGAAACAATATGGTCTGAAAGGAAAATCGAAATTCCCTGCAGATTATTTGGCGATTTTCATCCACGTACTTTCCAGACCCTTTACCCAGTCCGCTTCGTAGGTGGTGATGATTCCGGTGGTTTATTAACGTTCGGGAGACAAAGCGATAGATGTTACGTTAATTATAACGTTGATTCTGGACAAGAAAGTATCATGGGGGCACCACCTGGGAAAACATTAAAGTATTATTATCGTCCTTGCCTGTTGGCTTGTGGAAAATTCAAGAAGATTATTGAAGAAACAGATACCAAATTGTCCAGCAGAGAAACAAGTGCCAATGATGGAGCTGGTTTGTGCGAATTGTTCACCAAAGCAACCAAAAGGTTTGTATCAATAGTGTTTTCCAGTTTTGGTTTTTGATACTACAAATTAAAAAATTATGTCAAAACACATATAGGAGCCCAACCTCTACAGTAAGGGCAACACTTTATGATTTATTATTATTTTTCTGCTCTTTGTTAATTATTTATTTATTGGAAAATGCTCTTTGTTAATTATTAATATATAGGCATAGAGAATTAGTTTGTGTAACAATCCTTTTCGTGTCGGATCAAATTCTAGAGACGAAGACAGAGATTAAAGAATAAACTTTTCTTTTCCTTCCTACTTAAATAAAAAAGAGTTACAAGCATAAATAGATTAGCTCCCTAAAACTAAGGAAAAACTCCTAACCCACGTTTCTAAACTCCCTACTTCACTTATCCAAATTAAAAAACTAACCATTTAACATAGTACATAGAAGTATTAAAATATACTCTAAGCTCTTGCATTGCGATTCACCTTATAGGAACAAATGTTTTTACTTTTGCAGTCAAATCTTTCTTTTTCCAGTCTAGTTTAAGTTCTTGATCTCTCTCTCTTTGGTACAAATTAATCATTATGTATTGGAGATGCAAGAAAAAGATTGTCATGAACATATATATTGAATCCAAAAGGTATATTATACTGTATGGACAAAGAAAAAATCCCATTAAACTACATAATTATTACAGGGTCAGAATGAAACGTCCCCTAAAAATACAGCAACTGTCCCATTCCAGCTACAAAAAAGAAATACTAGAAGAAAACCGAGAGAAAAAAAAAAAAAAAGGCAAAAAACCATCATGTTCACATGAAATTATCAAAATCGAAACTGGCTGGAATTTCAAACTTCATCCAGTCACTGCAATAACTGATCTCTCTCTCATCTTCAGTAGTATTATTAGTACTAGTACTGCCACAATTATTGATCAAGGTCGATGAATTCAACGGCGAACCTGACAAAGGCGTGGATAAAACCGAGTCCAACCCGACGTTCTGATTATTGACGCTGGCATTTTCACTCGTCCCGTATCCACAAAATGATGATGAAGGATTCAAATCCGATGAAAACATCTGAAAATCTCCCATCTGGTTGTTTCCTTGCGCCGCAAGGTTCCCGAATGAAGAACATGCAGGAGAAGGGAATGAATTAGCCCCGGCCTGGAGAACTTGCTGATGAAGAATATTGTTGTTTGTGGGGGTTTGAATATTATTTAGCATTTGAGCATTTAGTAACTGTTGATGATTTTCGTGAAATTTCGGCAACATAATATCAGGGTTTTCTTGATTTGAAGAAGATGATGATAGTAATTGGGTGGCAATGAGTAATTTGAGAAGTTCAGGATTCACCAAAGTTTGTAGCCCAAGTAAGCTTGAAAGGTTAAGCTGAGGTGAAGATGAGGATGATGAATTGAGAAGGGATGAAAGGTCTAGGAGATCTAAGCGTGGACTGTGGGTTACTGGATCAATTCCCATTTTCAGAAGCCTTTTCCTGATATGTGTGTTCCAGTAGTTCTTTATTTCATTGTCTGTTCTTCCTGGCAATCTAGCAGCAATTGCTGACCATCTGATCAAGAACAAAATCAACCAAAAAAAAATTAGGGTTTGCCGATTTGATGACAATAGTTAATAATGTGCGATTTCTTATTTTTACTCATCTTAGAAAATTTACTTTATTAAACTATTTTATACTTCAATGAAATCCATGGACCTTTTTTTTAGTGGTGATAGGTACAAGAGAAAAGGAAAAATAACGAGGAATGATGTGTCAAGATTTTAACTATGTCCTAATCTTAAATGCACAAACCCTGTTTGAAAAGTTTTAACAACAATGGATGGGTGAAATTATTTTCTTGTAATTTTTTCTTGTCATTTTTTCCTTGTACCAATCATTATCTTTTTTTTTTGGTCGAAATAATAGACTATTTCTTCTAAGACTGAAAAGATTGTTTTAAAAAACATGGTGAGTTTATCTTACTTGTTGCCAAGAACACTGTGGAGCTGGATGATTGTTTCTTCTTCTTCAAAAGAAAATCTTCCTCTCTTGATATCGGGCCTTAGGTAGTTTGTCCAACGAAGCCTGCAACTCTTACCACATCTTTGAAGGCCTGAAAAAAAGATCAAGTGGAAATTAGAACACTTCTCGAAACTGATTTTATAATCATATTCAAGTATTATCATATAAACTCATTAACGGGATCTCTTTCATTATACCCAAAATATACAAATAAATAAATAGATAAATAATTCAACTGGATAAGCAGAAGAACCTAAATTCAAAGAAACTCAATAATTAATAGAACTGAATATACCTCCTATAATTAATCTATAAGATCATTTGTTGTGGATAAAACTTAATTAATTAGCAGTAGAAAGAGATTTGATTCGTCGTCTTTGTCTTTCTAACTATTTGTGTTATATATGATCGATTGAGGAAGAACATAAGTAATAAACAGATGGATTCTTACCAGCATTTTTGGGGAGGGTTCTCCAATTGCCAGCACCATGAGCCTCAATATATTGAATGAGTTTGAGATCTTCCTCAGGAGTCCAAGGACCTTTCTTGAGTCCATTTTTATCACAGCATGGTGATCTCCCCATATCCTATTTTCCCTTATCTTTGTTACAAAACCGAAAAAAAAAAAAAAAGTAGATTTTCAGGCAAAGCTAAAAGAGCTTAAAGTGAGCAACTAAATTGTAGGAAATTTGGAAGAAAGTGAAGTTGTAGGACAAATGAAGAGGAAAGCCCCATATATATAGGTGACAAGAGTAGATAAGAATGTCAAAATGATTTGGCGCCGCCCCTTTTACAAATTGTCAAATCTCCATCTTCCTTCTATCTCTCTACCCTTTATTGTGTTGAGTCATATACATCGCGGTAAAAAGTAAAAAATGTTAATTAAGCCTTTCCAAATTGTTATAAAATAAATTGCACATTTAGAACAGAAAAAAGGGCTTCAAAATTTTTATTAAATTAGTTATTCTAGGTAAATTTTTTAAGGAAGTTTGTATGGATTGATTGACAAGTGGCGACCAACTAATGTGTTTGACCTTTAACAACAAGGCTTGAAGAAGAGAGAGCCTCATTGGTTGGTGTATGGTAGTTAGTTTCTTTACCAATTATATTAAGAGAGCTTTCGAAGTTTCATGCATGAGGCTGGCTTCATTTGGTAGCTAGCTAGCTCTTTGTTTCTGTTCATTTAGACAAAAAGAACTAAATAAAATAAGAAAAGAGAACAAGGTAATTCGTTTGAATTTAACTTCTGACCTAGTTGTTTGTCACATCACAAATTTTCTTCAGTTTGGACATGCTTTGTCCACATTAACTCCTAATGAATGTAGTTTTTAATTCCTTGATGAACTGAAACAAGAAGCTTTGATTGAAGTTTCTTGCTTCTTGGACAAGGTTTGGTACAATAAAGGTTAAAAGGTCATCTACCTTTTGACGTTCTATTTCCCTGTTTTCCTATTAATCATTGACATCTCAAAGGATAACGAGACATTGTCAACAGAAAACCTTGGAAATTTGTCAGAAAAATAGAAATCACTCGATGTCTAATCAATTTCTTGCGTGGGTATTACAAATTGTAAATGCATAGAAATGTGTTTTTTTTTTCTCTGTGAAGAGAAAAAGAAAATTTTATTTTGAGTGCGCTGTGTTAAAAGCGCCGAAGGTGATACACTACTTAAAAACTTAAGTTCATATACAAATTGATGGAAATTGAATGACGGACATACACACATGACACATGATATAGAATATTATCATAAAATCTAACTTAATTCTTTTCAAAAAAGTGTGACGCAAAAATGAGCGAGATTCAGACAATCCCACATCCTTCTACATATGTGCTAGACGATTTTTAGTGAATTAAAGTGAGTCAATGTTCCCCTTTGATGTATAAGCAAAGATCTCAAAATCCATAGATAGATTAATACATTATAGTGAATGATTAATTGAGTTCTACTCAATTTCAAGTAAGTTGAATAAAGTGAAATGTTAATATTAAACAAACGGAGTATCATTTTTTATTAGTTTATGTCATATATTCCCTTTGTTCCAAAATTATTGTCCAGTTTGAGATTTTACTTTTAGTACAATTTTAACTAGAAATGAAAACCTAAACTGGACAATAATTATGGGATGGAAGAAATATTTATTATTATGTATATTATTGAATCTTGATCTTTTTCAAAACCCATAATTTAGCTAATTTAGATTTAACCCAAATGAGCCACGTACGTACCACAAGTAACAATGTCATTCAATAGCTAGGTGGTAATTACAATGAACAAAATTGTTAGTATTTTCCTTTTTTTCAATATAAAAGAATTTACAGCGCGGTAACTTAATTAACACATCGTATATAGTCAAATTATAGATTGTATGGTGATGGAATGACATTTAAATAATAATAAGGAGAGCAGATTTGACCAATATTAAAATTAAATTAGGTTTATCGGACACGTAAACAGGAGCCATGAGTTTCCACATTAGGAGGCTGATGAGGTAAGCACGTATTTGTGGCCATCCACGTTTTGCGATGACAACGTTTTTAGTTTTGTGTGTGTTAAGTCTCTCCAGATCTGATCATTTGTTGTTGAAACTTGAAAGAGAGATACCAAGTCAAACACAACCCAAATGGTCTCCTACTTCCCTGTACATTATGCATCGACATCTCCATGGCTGTTGTTTCAGCTGCCTCTCCCTACACTTGTTTCTTCTACGTGGACATTTTAGTTACTTAACAAACACCATCCATCCCCATCTCTAGTGAATTATTTCAATTTGTTTTCTTTGCAAAATTTTTAGATGTTTACGAGGCGAAGTAAATATAAAAATCGTATAATGTCTGCCCATATTTTATTTTAGTATATAGGGATGATGCTTTTCATCTAAAAAAAAAAGAAATGTTTAACTAGTTTGATTTCGATTATTGTTGATAAACGTCTGTTCATTTTCACATCTTCAAGAAAGAAAAATAAAAGAAGAAGAAGAAGAGAAAGTGTTATCTTTGTTAGTGAATCGACCGGGAAGTTGTTAGTAACTAATTGTCACAGTGACATCGTGTTGTACTATAACAACAAAATTTCAAAAATATGCAATCAATGAGACAAAGATGAAAGATGTTAATACCCTAGTTATGTGAGTCACTTCGTTGTATGAAATACCAATCTGCTTAACAAATTATTCCTCGTATACAAAGAGATAATAAAACTTGAAAAGAGAATGAGAAAGTGAAATGAATTGGTAAATGGATAAGTTCACTTGGTAGTAAATCGAGTATGTGTTATTATTGTTTAATTTCTCTTGGAAATAAAAGGATATCAAATTATATAAAAAGAATTATTTTTTCTTTTCTAAAATAAGAGTTTTGTTTATGGTATTATCAGTATTCAATGAATAGAGTTTTTATTCTGAAACGAACCAAGAAGTATACATCTCCTGAGGAGAACGGGGCCATATACGTACGTTGCTTCCATTACAGTATCACTCCAGTATAGTAGGTGAGTAATGTTTGCTTTTTTGTTGCCTAATAAGTGTAAGAAAGACGCCATTTCAAAATGGTTGAAATTCAGATACCTCATTTATCAACCTTTGGCCAACAAAAAAGATTATGGTCAAATACTTAAATATTGTTTTGTTTCTGCCCCGATTACCTCACAAGTCAAATTAATTGTAAAAACAACTCTTTTTTGCTTGCTTCCTTGGCTAACTTAACTTGTCTTGTTGGTTTTTGTTCTAGAACAACTCTAATCTTCTAATTTAGGTAGAAGAATTAAACAATGTTTAAGGCTAATCACCGTATCATTTAGTTAAATTTTTCTTGGTACCATGTTTCGTGTCCACGGGACAGTGTGATCTTCATTAATTTTAGTATAAAATATGGCTACCAGGCAATTTTTTTTAAGACTAATTAGACACTCAACACGAGTAATTAATCATCGTCACGAGTTGAAAATCTTAGTATTTGGCTTACATAATATGCTTGTTAGAGTAAATTACTTGTCGCGATTCTAATGTACCTATGTTAAGTTCATACCCCAAAAAAGCCACCACGTCATTCGAGTTGACTCACTTATGGCTAAACAATTCACGGATTAGTTAATTTTGCTAATATTTTAAGAACAAAATTAATTAAAAATGCACCTAATTGGATAGATTATGTTGAGGTGTACGATTTGCCCCCAACAAACTTTGAACAATAGTACGTATACTACTTCAAACGGCTGCTTTAGTTTCTTAATTCTTCTCTTATTATCTCCAAATCTCCAACACATATTAATTAATATAAATATCAGTTTCAAATTGTCTCCGATTTCTCTGTATTCTTCAGAGATCTAAACATGTGGCTATAGTACAATCTTCTTAGATATTGCAAAACGTAAATTAATTAGGGTTTTCTTAATTTAATCTGATTCAAGATTCAACCTTCTTAGCCACTACGTAGATACGTACCACGTGCATGAGGCATGTTTCCTGGCAATATTTACTCGTAAATTTAATTAAATTAAATTAAAATACGTCCTCGCACTTCATGCATGTATATACGTATTCATGGCTTTTTCAAAAAAAAAAAAAAAACGTATTCATGGAATGACATCATACGTAGAGGATGCATGCATGCCCATGAATTTTGTGTATTTTTATGTTTGTGTTTGTGGAAATGGAGCATGCCATGACTTCATCAGATGGAAGAATAATCCAGATGTTTCTTTGAATTTTAGACCAAGTGGAAGGGTTCTTATGGAATGTCAGTAAGATTTAATATAGGTATGTTTATGCATAGGCGATGAGGAAGAGGTACAGTCTAATGTTTGAATATAATGTACTTCTCCTGTCCCAAAATTATTGTCCAGTTTGAAATTTTATTTTTAATTCAATTGGAACTAAAAATGAAAACTCAAACTGGATAATAATTATGGAACATATGAAGTATGTATTTTCTCATTTTTTTTTCCCCTTGGGGACACCAAATGTCTAGTGTCCAAAATCATTATTTCAGCTATCTGAATAATGTCTAAAAGGAATGGTTTAGAAGGCAAAAACTCTTGCAACACATTTCTGATTTTAATAAGTAACTGGTTCAAATTACACTACACATAAATGACATTTGAAAAGAAAAAGAGAAAGGAGGGTATTGTATGAATTCAACTTTACTATATGGACAACTGGCATTAAGTCAACTTTTAAGATCTCATGTTTATGGATGGTTTCATTTATTTCACTTCTATTTTCTTGTATATATGGTTATTTTGCTAGAGATAAATGTGATTCTTTTGGAAAATGATATTTATAGTGACAAGCACATAATGAAAAAAAAAAAATAGTGACCGGCGTGTATTTTCTTTTTTAGTGCAAGTAGTACGACAACCTTCCTATTTTGTTAGCACGTTTTATAAAAATTCTATTTTTCTCCAAATATTATACTTTTATCTTAATTATTGTATACACGTCAGTCGCCTTGAGTTTTTACTTCTTTTTTTTTTTTTTACTGATTCTCATTGTCATTTTGGGGTTGCATGATTTTGTTGGTGTTAGTAATGTTTCACAATTAAAGAAACAACGTTTTTATTTAAAGAAAAAAGAAAAAAAATAAAAGAATAATAAAAAGGAAAAGCCTAGAATTGTTAATATCAAAGATAGGGTCAACTAAATCAACCAATACATGCTTGGCTTCTTAAGGCAATTCTAAAAACATACCCTTATATGTTTACTGAGTGAGAGTGAATTATTCTAAATCTTGATCGTCTATCTCAAACTCTAGATATAATTAGCCATTAAAATTGTGTTTGTTAAAGAAGAAGAGAAGAAGAAGATAAGGCACAGAATTCCCATCAGTGAGGTTCTATATTTTCACACGAGCATGAATGATGGACTTTTGGATGTATGGGGACTGCCATAAAGTGGCCCGGTCATACGACCATTTGGGTTGGTTATTCATAAGCCCAGTTAATGGGGCTTCATTTTTGAGCTTCCATGCAGAAATAGATCTTTTTGAACCTATAAGGAACTCGTTGGATTCCAGTATTTGCATTTTAGAGTGCCCAAATTGTCTTTTACCTGAGTCAAAATTTTGGATTTACTTCGCGACGGATATTATGGAAAAGACAATTTCACTCTTAGCTGAGTCCAATTCTGCCGGAATTGGTTTTTTCTTTTCTTTTTTTTTTTTTACTACCAATTCTATCCTAATTATCCTTCCTACAAACCCATCCCAAATTCTCTACCTCAATTTCAGCGAGAATCGAATTCAGGACGTTCTTGAGAGAGCCCTACCACCAGACTAACTGGATTACATTGATTCTCGTCGGAATTGCTTAATAATCCGAAAGACAAAAAAAAAGTCTTGAAGGCTCATATAAATACACATGTAGTTACACCTCAAAATTAATTGACAATGAGAAGAATAACATATACTCTCTCCGTCCCATAATTATTGTCGACTTTGCCCAAAAAATTTTGTCCTAAAATTATTGTCCAATTTGACTTTTTATGGATCAAGTTACACATTTGTCTTTAGTAAAAAATATTATCCATAAAATCTTAGTGGTTAAACAATTACTTATGTAGGGGTATATCCAGTTGTTTAAGGTAAAATATAGTTAAGTTTGACCAAAAATAAAATATTTCATTTTAGTATAACTGGACAATAATTATGAGACGGAGGGAGTATAATATATATATTGGTTAAGTTGGGTTTCAATCTCCAATGTGGGACAAGAAAACTTGAGCACTTTCTTAATATTTTAATATTTCAACAAAGAGCAAAGGGAATAAAAAAATAATATCCATTAGTTCTAAAAAAATAATTCACATTGTAAATTATAGTATAACTTTTATTTTACAATGCAAACCACTTTCATGGGATTGAAGATATAAAAGACTTTCTTTTTCACTTTCAAATGTAAACTACAAAAAAGACACTTTAACCGTCAAATGTCCGTGTTAAATCTTACTACTAATTGTGAAAACCCTAACTGTTTGTTCTTTCATACCTCAACCAAAATCATATATTTTCGGTTCGGCTCTGGTTTTTGTAAATGAAATTAAAACCGAAAGACGGTTCGACTCTTGTTTGCGTATTGCCAAACATCCTGCCTTTGTTTGCCCACCGGCCACGTCAGTGCAATCGGACCTGTCTGATTTCGGCCACTTAATTGGAATTTGCTACATGTACTGTATACAACTAAGGGACTCTCTCTCTCTCTCTCTCTCACACACACACACACACATTTGCCCCTAGAATACTTAGAACCTCTATAGAATTGACAAAAGTTTTATCCATATCAATATTTTTTCGTGGATGTGTTTATGCTATGAATTTTGTAATAACTATCTACAACTAAAACCAAAGTGACATATATTTTCATCAAAGACGTTTGACTAAAACTCTCATGAAAATAATGGAGTTTTTTTTTTTTTTTTGAAATAAAAATAAAGGAGTTGATAGGCGTGACTAGCTTTGATGATACGTAGAGTATAAAATCAAAGTTAAAACAGGATTTGATAATTCCGTATTATTAGTTTTCGTAGTTTCCTCTTCTCAAAAAAAAAAAAAAAGGGTTTTGTAATTTCCTTATATAGATTGGACAAGGGCAAATCTTGACATTATGTATAGTGATCAATATAAAAGTTTAGGGCTATTGACATTGTGTGTGTGTGTGTGTGTGTGTTTCTGAGAGGAAAAGCAAACCGGCAGCTGCGGCCGTGGGAAGTTTTCTTTTTAGCACAATTCATACGTATAAATTAGCTGCTTTGAATTTTGACAAGTAAAAAGAGTGAAATTGATTTTGGTGGCTCCCTAATTTCTTCGTCCAAAGCACGGTTGATTACGTTGGCTCTCTAACGAGTAAGCTTTTGTTTTCTTAGCTAGTTTATTACTTACTTGATTCACTGAGTTATGCATTTTTTGAGCTAATAATTTTCTGGTTTCTACATACGTAGTTGGATATAATTTGAGTTAATTAGGAACCCTATTTGATCCAAATTAGTACAGTAATTACTTACTCTTGAGCAGCCTTTGTTTGGGCCAAATACTCATGGATTTGTTTTCCCTTTTCGTGTCTTAAGATATGTTTTACACGGTTTGACACTGAGAAATTTGGTGAACGTGATAACCGTTAAACATAAATCTCTCTACCACTAGTCGACTTTTAATTACTCCCTTTTTTTTAAAAAAAAATAAAAAATTGAATGGTCCAAGCGAGAATCGAACTCTCGACCTCCCGGTAATAACTACTTTTAATTACTCCCTTCGGTCCTTACTCCTTAATGTAAAGTATTTTGATTTGACTTAAGTTTAACCTGGTACGTATTTTTAATTGACAAAAAAATCTTAAAAATATATTTTTACATCGTTTGTGTTTTGTTGATTGTTATGAAATATTTTTAAGATTTTTCTTTATCAATTAAAAATACATACTATATAAAATCTAGAACAAATTGAAATAACTTATATTAAAAAGACCAGATAAATTGAGATCCTAAAAGAACCACAGAACCTTTAGTGCTTGTTTGGACAACGTTTTGTTTTAGTTTTTGATTTAGATTTGAGAGGAGATTTAAAAGGTAGTTTAGTTTTTTATTTAGAAAATATTATAGTATAGTGACCATTTATGAAATTAAAATAGTTCAGCGACTAAAATGAAAATAGTTTAGCGACTAAAATGAAGATTTTACAATAGTTTACCGACCAAACACAAGACTTTACTATAGTTCAGTGACCAAACGCAACATTTTACAATAGTTTAGTAACCAAACGTAATGAAGACTTTACAATAGTTCAGTGACCAAAACGAAGACTTTAAAATAGTGTAATGACCAAACACAAATTTTAAAAAGTAAATTAAAAAGTTATTTGGATGATTTTTTTTTCATTGGGTTTCGTGTTTAAGAGGTAAAATGAGTGAAAATAGAAAATGAGTTATTGGACAAACAAACACTATACTTTTCGTGCAATTGTGAAAAAAAACTTGGCTGGGCTTTTTTTTTTTTTCTTCTTTTCTATATCAAATTAAAAAGTGATAAAATTTACCACGTCACCAAGAAAACACAAAAAGAAGAGGTCCCACCAATATCCTAGTCAGCCATAATTTCCCCAAATTAATTTGCCTCATTTCTCAACAACGTTCATCAATCATCATCAAGCGAGCTAGCAGAAGCCAGCATCCGTCTCTCTTCCTAAGCGAAACTTCCTCCGCAGCCATAAAAAGCTTTTTGCAAAATGTAGCTTTCGTTTCCACCGTTTGAAGTTTATTAGTTACTACCTGAACTGAACTACTCCTCCCTTTTTACGCGGGTAAGTTAAGTTTATTTGGTCAAACCTCTCTCTTTCACTCTGTATAAGGGGATCGCGCTCTTGACATTGTCCCTTTTATATATCTTTTTTTCCTTTAGTTCAGATCCGAATTTCAGTTCCCTATTCAGAAAGTTTTGCATCTTCTTGCATATCCCTTTTGAAGAATTTATTCATAATTTGAGTCGGGTTTTTGTCAGAATCTTTAATTTCTCAGGTATTGATTCCCAATTTTTAATCTTTGGTGACTGCGCGCTTTTTTTTCTTTGTTTCCTTTTCTGGGTTGTTTATGTTGCGGGTTTCCTTCCTTCTCTTCTTTTTTTTTTCTTTTTCTGGGTTGCCTTTTCTTGTGGTCTTTGAATTGGATCACGACTCATGAGTGGTACTTAATTTTTGCGTGTACAGATTGAGTCGTCAATATTCTTGTTTCTTGGTAAAATTCTGGTTGTGTTCAAGAATTTAGTGTAATAATTTACGCTGTATGAATTATTCGTACCTCCATCCGAGATTACAGTCTTATGTTCGGAGTTTTGCTCTCAGGCAATGTTGGATCGTTCTGGTATGATTTCTTGGATTTTTATTGCTCTAATTGCCTCAAGTGATAATGGCTTTGAGTAATCAATATTGTGATCGTGGATTATCTGCCACTTTTGGGGGCTTTTGCTCTTGTCCTGAATAAATTGGATTGAGGAATTTGATTTATTATCCATAATTGAAGATAAGATATTTTTGTCTATATCTGGTTTGAGGAATCTGGGTAAGTGTGTCAGCAAAGTCTTGTTTTGAAGCCATAGCTTGAAAGTTGAATGTAGGTTCGCCTTGTCAGCAGAAAACCGCTATTTACCGTATCATTTTTTCTTTTTACAGTAGTAGTAGTTGAAAAGGGGGACAAAGTGATGCAGATTCTTTCCTTTAATCATGGAACGGTTCTTCCAAATCACTTGGATTTAATTTATTTTCGAGGAACTACATAGCAATGGTTCAATTGCGATGGAAAAAAGATATGCACCGATTATTTCTTACATTTAAGCACGTACATGCTTGATCGTGGAAGTCATTCTTTTTTCCGATATATGCTTCGTCTCCCTTTCTACATATGTTCTTAAATATCTGTCTCTTGTTGTGGAACAATAATTTTCTTTTCCTCTCTGTTCTGCTTTATAGCTTTCATAGATGAAATATTTGAATCACTGGCCCTTACAATTAGTAATTTCACAATTTCTGTATATCTTCTATATTTTTCCTTCTAAATGGGAAAGTGCAGAAGGTCAACTGGGCAAATTTGTCTTCAATGTTAGGAGTTACACTGTTCTTTTAGTGATGCTTGAACATCCTTAGGGATCGATCTAGCATTCTATCTAAATGCACTTGATCTGTTTCTGTCAACTAGCTTAATCTCACTATTTTTATCATGTTCTCTGAGATTTGGTGGTCATAAATTGGTTTTGTTTCATAATGGAACTCTTCATCTACTTGATGAGTATGTTAAAGTTATTTCCATTGTTTATGCAGTGGCAACCAAGAGCAATTTGGGGAGCAAGAGAAAAGAAGTAGCTAGTTGCTTCAAATGTCCTTTGATTGAAGCGTTCAGGAGAACAGCTATGACAAACATAGTTTTTGAGTCCGATTCTCTCTTGAAGGAGTTCTACATTCCTACATATATCCTTGCTTCTAGTTCAGAGCCTGAGACATTAAGAGATGTACCTTCGTGCCCCGTGCTCGTCTTTATCAATTCTCGAAGTGGTGGGCAACTGGGTGGAGAACTTCTTGTCACTTATCGTTCTCTCCTAAACCCACACCAGGTTCTCTTACTTTGTATTGTGTAATCAATAGTGCCTATTTCAAGAGAACCTGAACTGAAACTGCAGTATGATTCACTTCAGGTTATTGACCTCGGAGAGGAAGCTCCTGATGCTGTGTTGCATAGACTTTATCGAAAACTTGAGATGCTCAAGATAAGTGGAGATGAACTAGCTCCTAAGATTGAGGAGAAATTGAAAATAATTGTAAGTTTGACTTACTAGAGTATTAGTTAACAATTTTTTCCCTGCAACTTAGTATTTGATTCAAGTTTTTCTTTTAATCATTTAAATCGTTAACTTGCTGTACGTTGGTATGACATACTAGGTTGCAGGTGGCGATGGTACAGCCGGTTGGCTCCTTGGAGTTGTTAGTGATCTTAAGTTATCTCAACCCCCACCCATTGCAACAGTCCCACTAGGAACTGGAAACAATCTCCCATTTGCTTTTGGCTGGGTAAGGAAGATGTTCTTCTTCCTTAATTTCTCTTAAATTTTTAAAAACCTCATCATAGATGTAAAATTGTGTGGAGGATCTCAACAGCTTCCTTTTATTTGCACCTACCGAAAGTATTTGTACAGGATCACTATTTGTTAACCAAGTCATAAGCTCGATCCTCTCTCTGCATCATTTGTTTGCGAAAAAGATTGTTTCATCTTATTTTATGTGAATTCTAAGTAGTTTCGGTAGAGTTCTATAGTTTTTTGAAGAAAAGCTTTTTTATAATATAGCCCTTGATGTAATGTCTAGAGGGTGAACAAGTTTTCCCCTCTATTTTCCTGATATTTTAACTGATCCATTTTCCAAATTGAAATTGTTTCTTTTGAGTCTATCTTGCTATGCATGTAATTATTCTAACATACTTTGTAAAGCGGACTACATGCCTGGAAGATGAAGAAAGTTTGTTTCCCTTGTCGTGTGGGATGGGATACTCATGGTTCATTGTTTGCAGGGAAAGAAAAATCCTGGAACAGATAAAGACTCTGTGCTCTCATTCTTGCGTCAAGTTAGGAAAGCAAAAGAAATGATGATAGACAGGTTTGATTGCGTATCTCATGTATCTCTAAACTTGAAATCTAATTGACTTTTTTCTCCTGGTCAGTTTAACATTTCCTGATTTTTTCTTTATGTTGCATCTACCTCTATCATTTTCAGCTGGCATATTTTGATGAGGATGAGAGCACCAAGTCAAGGTTCTTGTGATCCCATTGCTCCTCTTGAGTTGCCTCATTCTTTGCATGCTTTCCAACGAGTTTCTTCAACCGATGAGCTCAATGTGGTAAAGGCTGTCCCTATAAATGCACTATATCATTTCCTCATTAGATATATTACGTTGAATGGATTCAGAGCTTTTTTACTTGCATGAGGAATTGCTCAAGTTCTGTGATTAAGTTTTGTATCAGAAATGAATTCATATTGCTCACTGTATTTGAGTGATTGGTGGAGATTTTGTGATGGGTTTTATTGTTTACTTTGAATGCCTGATAGTTTTATCTGTTCTACTCAATGTTATGCTACTTTTCACTTTCTCTCTGATTGGACAAATAGGATACTGCAACTTTTTTATCTGCTTTTTTTCTGATGAACAATGTGTATTGCTCGAGTTCTATCATTGATTTCACTCTAGTACCTTGTAATATTGTAAGTATGATTTTTCTCTAGAATTGTTTCTATCCAACGCAGCTTATAGAAGTTCTGATTTCTTTTCTGGTTCTTGGTTTATGCAATGCATAACCATTTTTTGGTGGGATATTCGGTTCTTGTAAATTTTGGATACTAGTTGAGGAAGACTCCATAGTGAGAATAATGGGCGCTCGTCAGATGTCTGTTATTAATGACTTCTGTTGTAGGTTTTAGTGTGCGATTTCTGTGAAGTTGCTAATAAAAATGGTTCCACTTTCTTTCATCCATATTTTCCATTAAGTTGAGACAGTGCTGTAAAATGCAGTATGTTTCTTACCTTTATGGAAACCAACTAGAGCAGGGAAAAATTAAAAAACAAATAAAAAAGAAAACAAAAGAAGAAAAACTGGAGTGCAGAAAAACTTCATCATGGTGAAGGAACAAATTTCACTGTATGGTTTCACTGTGATTATTTGTGCGAAGTTTCTGGATTTGCCACTTCTTTAGTTTCTTCTATGATGATGTATGCTCATCTAATCTAGGAACTTTCAAATTGGATAGAATCTCATGCAAAGTTTTGTTTTTTGCAGGATGGTTACCATACATTCCGTGGAGGTTTTTGGAATTACTTTAGCATGGGTAAGTAGTGGTCTGGATGCTAATTAGACTTTATTAATTTCTCTGTCCAGATTTTATAAGTCAATTGCCATGGTCAGTGGAGCACTTTCTCAGAAAAAAGGTTTTTTTATCTTAGCAACAAAGAGGAGGATAATGTTGCTTGTGTTTAGATTCATTCTTTAAAGTACTTTACTCCGTTAGTTCACAGAGCGCATCAGTAGTTGTGTCAATCACGGGGATTGATGGACATCGGGAACTGCTTCAGTAGAACTGTTAATTATTTTTACTGCTCTACCTGTGACATATTGCAGTCTCATATGTGATAACTAAAATGTGCTTCCAAATGCTGAACTTGCTATTTCTTAAAGGGCTTGTAAACTTCTTTCTTACGCTAGCTTTTCTTGCAATGTATGCGCTTACAAGTGCTTCCGTAAGGCAACATATCAAGGGATTAGTTTGTGTTGAAATCTGATTGTGTCATAGTGACAAAGCTAAGATAATATAGTGAAATAGCTGTATAGCAATCAGCTTCCAACAAATTGGAGTCTACCTTGTTATTCAGTAAATATCTTGCATCATATGTTGTTTGGTGCAGTACTTATTGCAAGTTTTCAAATCTTTCAGGGATGGATGCGCAAGTATCTTATGCGTTTCATTCTGAGAGGAAGCTAAATCCTGAGAAGTTCAAAAACCAGCTGGCAAATCAGGTATCCGTGATTAACCTTAAACTGATTTTTCAAATGTCATTTGTGCAATTTAAGTGATTAGTGAAGTTACTGCATTTATTCAGATTGAATTACGTCAAATGTCATCATTGCAACAAGTTAATTAATTTAGCTTAGTGAAAATATGACACTGTTATTCAGATTGAGTTACTATGACATAATTACATTTGTTTGGATCTGGTAATATCAATTCTTGGCTGTTAGATGTAAATAGGAATCAGTAGTGTATGTAAACCATTTCAAAGTGAGTTATGACCAGCTAATTTCAACTTTTACTCCTTGCCGTCGAGTGCATATTACTAAAAACTTCAGTTATCTTAAAGTTTAAAACCATGTGGATTCAGTTAGAATTTAGAATGACTCTTACGGAATTGATGACTCGATGGCTGTATTTGGTTATGAATTTAACTTATATTGGCTATATTATTAGCTCTTAGGGTTTAATGTGTGATCCTGGATGGTGTAAGCTCTCCACTAGTTAAAATCATGTTCTTGTGCAGTATGTTATGAAATTATTAGTGCACAATCGTTTGTGCAAGGTTGTGCATATAAAGAAAGGGTTTCTTTTCTCCTTTTTGTTTTGTTTTGTTCTTTTTTTTTTTTTCAAATTTGGAAGTTGTGGTTAATAAATATTGTTGTGGTGCCTAGAGTCAATATGCAAAACTTGGATGCACTCAAGGATGGTTTTTTGCTTCACTTGTTCATCCATCATCAAGGTGTGTCTGATTTTCTTCTCAGAACTTTGTATTTCTCATTGATTGTCTACTTCCAAGCGTCTCTGTTCCCTATTTTTTAGTTTTAAGGTTGATAAATTCATCCACCACAATTGGAGGTATTGTTTTTTGTCTCATGATCTATGGCATAATTAGGCTTTCCAATTACTTGTGGAAATTATCATGCACTTTGTTATTGTTTTTCCCACTTTTATGACTAGTTAGTTTCTTCACTCAATTTGACGATAACAAAGAAAGAGCAATGCTGAAGATCCTTCTTTAGGGGACCTAATTATGTCTGCCAACATGGTTTCTTAGCTCTGTGGAGTTGAACTTGTTAGCCAATTTCTGTATTTCCTTAGCAAATGTCCATCAACGTGTTTTCCAATGCTTGCCCCATTGTATGTGTTGTGCTCTTACAGTAACCGAATTCTTGTAAGTTCTTGAGTTCTGAGACTTCCTTAAATCTGTGAATTTCTTTGAAATTTGTACCTTCCATAGCACACCTTTTCTTATACATGTATGTGCCTTGTTATGGAAGAAGCTCTTACTTTTACTCGCTTTGCAATTGCAAATGAATTATCTCGTTACTTTTTGTTCTGGACATTTATCAGATGTTGTAAAACCAATCCTTACGCGAATCAGAAGGAATTGTTTCTTGGCACAACCTTTCCTTTTTTCCTTCAACAAAATTGGTTGTCCCCAGCTTTGCAGTGAAGGAAAATTTTCACATGTTGGAATGAAGGAATAATGTAGTACTTCTTATGAAGGGAAAATGTTTATGACGGATAGGTTGTGTCTATTAGGTTTACTCACATTATAGAGCACGCTCAACAGATTTGCTTTAAATGTTTGGTATCATGTTTCCTTGAATCCGAAATTTTTGTTGTTTTTGTGATGATTTACTTGTACTGCAGGAACATAGCCCAACTGGCAAAAGTTAAGGTTATGAAGACTCACGGTGTTTGGCAAGACCTTCAAATTCCTCATAGGTAGTTGTTCAGATGTTCAGATGTCAGTTTAAATTTAACTTTTTCTTCCTGTTGTTCCCTGATAATTAAATGGTACAGAATGCTAATGAACTATCCAAGTTTTGTTCATTTGAAACCTGGCAGAAGCTACTTTCTTATTCGAAGTTGAAGCTAAATGCATGATTGTTGGATGGTGACATTGCTGTTTTTTACACATCTTTTGTGCTAAAATTATAAATTTTAGTTTCCTGTGAATTTCGTCATGTATTTATGTATCCTTGAGTTTTGTACGGTAAACTTGGAATCGTTTTTCATCAGTTTTTATTTTCCACTGCAAATTTTATGGTAAATTTTCCTTGCTTGGCAGGAATGAAGTTTCTCATGCCATATGTATTTTGCTCTTTAGTTCTTATGTTTGCAGCTTCTTTGTTTTCTTAGCAGCACCAGTTTACAACACATATCTGAGTGATTTGTCTTACTGCTCTCTCTTTTTCTTTTCCTACTTTTTCTATTAACAGCATCAGATCAATCGTATGCCTCAATTTGCCAAGTTTCTCTGGTGGACTAAATCCTTGGGGAACACCAAATCAAAACAAACGACGTGATGTATGTACATTTGAAATTTTTCTCTTGGTTTTTTTCTTGGAAGAAATATTGTTGTCTAGTGAAAGTTCATTCACATTTGTTTCCTGTTACATAACCATGCTACTTCGCTTAAATGTACAGAGAGACTTGACTCCTCCATATGTAGACGATGGACTCATTGAAGTTGTTGGCTTTAGAGATGCTTGGCATGGTCTAGTTTTGCTTGCTCCAAATGGACATGGGACTCGTCTTGCACAGGTAGTTCATTTATCAGTATGATTTGGAATCTTTTTAGGCTTCTAGGATTCTTATGGGTTTCAGGGGACAAATTTTACTACTTAGATGACTCGTTTGGTATTCTTGAAGTGAGACAGATGATCTGATTAGAGTATTTCACTGCATTTTGAAATACTTTCATGCAAAGTTTCTTTTTTCGTGTTCACTGAGATTTTGTCCTCATGTTGATAGGCTCGCCGAATCAGATTTGAGTTTCACAAGGGTGCAGCCGATCATACATTCATGAGGATTGATGGAGAACCTTGGAAACAACCCCTTCCTGTTGATGATGACACAGTAGTGGTAGAGATATCTCATCTTCGCCAGGTGAAGATGCTTGCCACCGAAGGTTGCAAAGCCAAAAGTACCAATGACCCTTCGACTCCATCAGCACATGGTGTGGTCAATGATGAAGTTGATAGTGATGAAGAGGACTCCACCGGTGAGGAATGGAGAAAGTTTGGTGCAGCAGACACATTTAAAATCCCAGACGAGGTTGATATTTCTCATCTCAGTTAAGGCTGATATGATTCTTTTCTGTACAAAGTCATTTCCCGTACAAAGTTCCCCTTTATGTACATTGGCGTTAATGCGTGAGTTAGGGTTGAAGCCAGCAGCTGCAAGGCAATTACTGAAGCTGCTGTTGTTTTTGTTTTGTGATTCTTTTTAACTGGTCTAAGTGATAATCTCCCATTGATAACAGTAGGTAATTTGAGTGCATTTGGCACTTGGAACAACTGCCCTCAAATCAAACTTCACTATATATTTTTACTGAATGAAAATCAATATTAACCGAGGAAGATGGAACAAGTTCACAGATTTTAACTCTTTTTGCACGAAGTTCAGGGTCCCCGTCAATTCTTTATAAAGATTGTTCTCTTTATTTGAAGCAGGTTCGGATTTCTAGATCAAGAGGACTTGACATGCATATGGTATCTGGAAAGTAATTGAGTCTTATTTCGTGTTCATGTTCATGGGTGGAAGGCGGATCATTTTCACACTGAAAACGACTCAATTACTCATGTTATCTGTGTTTTTGAAGTTTTTTGTTTTTGTTTTTTTTTTCAGAATTGTTGAGGATAGATTTGCGTGGTGTATTTGTTTAGTATACATTGTCACAAGTTTCCCTGTTCATATTAGGAATATTTACCTTCCCCTCTGCCCTAAACAGAAAAAAGGAGAAAAACACATAATTTGTACACTGAGTGTAAACCTCTATAAAACAATGTAATATTATATACTTCTAGTGCCGTGTTACAAAGAGTTGTACCCGCAAATGCAGCATGAGAAAGTTTAATCTTTTATACTGCTAAAAAACACATCAAGATAAGGAAAGGTACTTTCTATACCGGGTAAGAAATGGCGAAAGATGTGAAAAGTAAACTAGAAATTACTTTCTACAAGACAATTCTGTACAGCTTCGCTGGCCTTCTGAGATTCAACCACCCTCTCTTCTCTTTTTTTCTTTTCCCTGTAAGTCCAACATAAATAAATGCTGTGATGAGATACGAATTCGATTACATTTGATATCGATGAATTGAAAATGGTAGCAAAACATAACTATGAATTCTTTAAAATGTACGGAAAGATACTAATCCAACGAAGTATCTTAGGGAGACTTTCCATTATATCTTTAGGGATGCTAGTTTATCAACTTCCAATACAGGCAGATAGGAATGCTTAAGAAGTTAGGGCTTCCAAATTTCCAATTATATTTTCAGGGATGGTGAAAGTAAAGAGGACAGTCATGATAAAATGAAATGTTGATTATGTGCAAAATAGGAAGTGAGGCGTATTGTATCCTTGTAGATGACTTTCGGCACCCATAATTATATGCAGAAAGTACACAGTTAATGATAACATCCAAGCGTATTGGAGTTTAGGGCAGTGGAAAATATTCTCACCTGTCTACATACTCCTTCAAGAGTTCTTTAGCTTGAACAAGCTTAGAGAGCAAGTTGCGATATACATCAAGGTCCCGATCCACACTTTTCTTGTTTACGTTAAGCGCAGCACATAGCTGTATCAAATAGACAATCCATCAACCAACAAGTAATACATTTAGACTCACATTTACACACAAGAAAACAGATTATAGTGAACTGCACAGCAAACTTTTGATCAATCCCAGTAGTAAAAGTAAAGTTCATGATCACTTCACTGGTTCTGATACCAAATATCCCATGATCTGAAGTTTATTCTGTTTACTAGGAGATTGGAAGATTTAGAAGGTTATACCACAAGTTGCATTAAAAAACTCAGCATTTCTGCTGAGAAAATCTGGTCATCTGTCGAAGTATATTGCTCCCTTAGAGTCTAACCGTCTTTTATTGATCAAATATGTTTCCAGACCCACAAGCTAAACCTATTACATTTCTACCAAATAGCTTAGTCCATTGTATCATTATAAAACCACAGAAAAATTGGGGAAAACAATGACGAAAACAGAGAAAACAAAGCATGCAGGAGCACTCGAGATACAGAATGTCAGATTAACAATTTAATGTGCGTAGCTTCAGTGACGAAGAATGATCGTGGTGTACGATCCATGTAGACAGCGCCATAAAGTAGGAAAAAGACTTGAGTTTTTATTACTGTTGATGTTGCATCTTAACTTCCAAATACATCAAAGGAAGAACTAAAAAGTTCTACCGCATTTCGGACTTAGCTGTGCAACACAGATTGGTGGGAGGTGAGTTGAAAAGCCATTCAAAATCAGATAACAAAAAAAGAAGGGAAAAAAAATGAAGCAAATTTTGCTCAGGTCACAGAAAATTATAGAATTGCTTGAGTGGACTATTGATCTGAGCAGAATAAGTAGGAGAAAAAGACCAGCCACAATATAATGTTCCTAGAGGTCAGGACTAAAACAAAAAGATCCAGCTCATTGTCAGTACACAGGGTTCATTTTCCTCGAGTATTATATCAAAAACAACTATTTTGTTGCTTTCAATGTGTGGAGATAAAAGTGAATAGCTTCAGTTTAGATTTAGCTTCAAATGAAATTTACTGTAATGATGTACCTTTTCTAGAACAGTGGGTTCTGTAGCATTCGCCAACTCAAGAAGACGAAAGAGACCAATAGCAAAGAATCGACTGTAACTGAAAGTTTCCTTGCTTCCTGCTCTCTCTGCAATATCTTTTAATATAGCTTCAACTTCACCTTCCTTTGATGAAAAATCAACTAAAGTTGCAGAATTTTGAGCACGAGCCCACTCTTCTAATTTTTGGGCATCGGACCTGTATGCGTAGCATAGAAGAAAGCAGAGAATGATTTAAAATTTGAAACAAAAACCAAAAGTTTAAAGCAATATGTAAAACTAAATAATAATAATAATAATAATAATAATAAAAGTCTTTCTGAATTGTACTGAACCACTTGCCATTGACTAGATGACTGCATATTGAGTTCAATCTGCCATAATTTTTATTTTTTCTACTTTTCTGTTTATCTGATCAATACAATCAGCTTACGGGCACAAACAAAAATTCGTTTTTAGACCTTCCTAAACTAAAAACATGCTACTGATTTCAACTTTTTCTTCTTTTTTTTTCCCTGGATTGCAGTTCCCAGGTTCAAAGACAGAATTTCAGGGTTACAATTCCCACTGCATTGTAACAGACTAACCAATATACTTACTGGATCAGTTCACCAAAGAAGATAGCACCCTTTTCTCAAATGCCATTCTGTTTAACCTTCTTATGAGTCTATTACATGCTCCAAAGTGAGGAATAAGTAAAACACATTAATTGGACACTTGCCTGTACTTTTCAGGGTCTTCCTTTAGAGCCTTTATATATGCTTGGAAAATTGCTTCACGATCATCGTCACTTGGGTACCCTTCCATCAAGCGATCATAGACAGTCACGAATCCCAGAGCAAAGACAGCATCGTACTGATACGTTCTCTTGTACCTCATTAGATGCTGTTGGACAAGCAACTCAAGCAACACAGTGTTGTAGATACTAGGAATAGGTCGGTTATATGCCTTTAGGAAATTTAGCTTCGTTTCTGCTACTGTTGGCACATCTGAATCCACGGCACAAACATATCATTTTCTGGTTCAAAAATTTAAGCTCAGCTATGCAAAAGAAACCTCAACGAAGACTACACTTCAGAAATGATAAACCAAAGATCATTACGAACTTCAACAATTCAGTTTCATAAATATCTATGGAAAACTAAAACCTTGTTTGAAAGTCCTAGTAGAAATTTTAGATCAGGTAGGCCTATTCTTGGCCAATCCCACATCATTAATTATTTTATAAAATGAATTCTTGTTATCACTAAACTTATCATCAAGTGAGCTTGTCCATCATAGAGGATCTCATTCATTCAGTCAATTACCTTTAACTTACAACAGAATCAGGTCATTATTTTTCCTTTTATTTCTTCCCAACACATAATATCATACCTAAATGGAAGCCCTTTGTTATCCTAAAAGCACAATAATGGCAAAAAGAGAAAAGATTGATCAAATAATATTAATTTTTCTCAAATTCCAAATTCCCCAATAGCAAAAAAAACCAAAATCACAGGTTTCTTATCTCTTTTTCCATGCTTAATAATCCAGCATTTCCCTAAAATTAAGAGAAAACATAAATCTGAAAACCCTCTTCTACTTTTTCTCCTGTTCCCATTTTAACAATTCAGGAATCAAGCTCAAACCATGAGAAAGAAGTAAAATTGGAACAAACCTGTAGTAGTAGACATGCAATGGACAGCAAAGCAACGAGCTTTATTAGAGCTATTAACAGTAAGGGAATCCAAGCCATTGATGCTCAAACGAAACTTAAAAGTTTCAAAATTTGAAGACAAATTTCGAGCTGAAATTTTCCTGGAACCATCGAACGACTGCTTTATTCCAGAAAATGTTGACACTGAACTCACAGCGGCCATTATTAAAGGAAAGCCCAGAAACACCAAATCCAATTCAAGAGTTTCTCCAATCTGATTAGAAACAGTTAAATTATAATTTCATAGGAAATAATTTACGGGTTTAGTATTGAAATTGACAACCCATTGAACAGAAAGAGGAAATGTGGATGAGGCTCGCAGGAGTGGGCACTGTTGGATGATGTTTTTATCCGTTCTTTCTTTATCAATCAAAAAGAAAAGAAAATAGAAATATAGCCAAGAAATTGGCATTTGTTTTTCAAATTTTGACTCTGATTTATTTTATTTTATTTTATTTTCTCTGGCTTCATAACCGGGCCAATAAGGACGCGACAAGTGGATCGAACATGAAGCTGACCTCTCGTTCAGATTTTTTGCTCCCTATGAAGTTATTAATTGCTAAAAACTCAAAAAACTTCTTAAATATAGTAATCCCTTACAGAAAAACACGTCTCCAAATTACTACTCTCTCTCAGTCTCAAAAAAAAATTAATCCACATAAGATATTTCACAACTTTGTACCATACATAAAACAGGGACAAGGTTTTTTTTTTTTTATATTTTTTCTTCTTCAAAATGTTACCTGTTATACAGAGAGAAGCTTTGTTTAAATTGGTAGTGTGTTTTTTGATAATCTGAATTAGGTTTTGATATTTATTTGAAAAACGTGATTAGAAACAAAATAAAATATATCACATATTTTTAATCGCAACAATGACTTTTAACACTAAGTGCGTAATGTATAATAAAAACAAAACAGCATATTAAGCTTATTCGCTAGAACACTATAAGATTTTATATTAACCTATTTGCCTGAAATTTGGTCGGCATGCGATGAAGGCGTTACCACTGGGTGTTGGTGGTAATCTTTGGGGCTGGAATGGTGACTTAGAAGTAATTATTTGGGCAAAAACCAAGTTAAGAAATAAATCTATTGCATCATTATGCAGCTTCAATACGCAGTGTAGTCATCTGAAATGTGCGACCATATAAGAACCAAAAGGGAAGAAAAAGACAAACTTATTATCTAGATTATTCAATTAGTAGCGAGAGGATACGTAGTTCAATAGCCACCAATATAACGTTAAGACAACAGATTAAGTCGATCTCAAGCTAGTCTCAACTACAGTTATTCACGAAGTTGTTGATTACTTTAGGACTACATGTTATGATGTTACTATGAGTTTTGCATATATAATCCGTATGTTGGGCTTGGAACCAAGCGCCGAGGATGAAATCTTGTTTTTTTTTTTTCCTTCCCATCGGCCCCTGTCAATTCCTAACTCTTTGTTACTTATACACTTCAGCTTCTTGGGATTGGTACACTTGTAATCAAATTGGACTGTTTTGAAAAGAAAGTAAAAAATTGTTTGCAAAAAACAGGACTATTACAGTAGCCAAATCTTCAAGATGATGAATTACTCGGTCCCAAAATCAACATGGAATCTCTACTTGTGCTTGTGGTTCAAGATCATTAACGAAACTCCGGTTTCCTCTTTGTTCTCCGTTGCATTGGTCAATTCCCAATTTGGCCATTTGGTTACTTTTAGTTAATTTAGAGTCATGTTTGTTACCCTTTCTTCAACGTAACAATTTTTGAGTTTTCAACCTTTTGATTTTAGACTGATGTGTAGCACATTGTCCGATCCTCTCTCGACGCTTTTCTTACTTCGTAAAAGTCTATAAAAATATTGCCACATCATGTAACTTTTGAAACTTTTCATGTACCCCTCAAAGACAGAACCTTTTGAGTTTTCTTTTAGCGGAATTTATGCTTTATTCTGCGATATCCATTAATCTTTTGATATAGCTGAACACTGCATATAATGATCTCGCAGAATTTTTGTTGATAAACAACTTGCTAAATTCACATATAATACCATGTGTCACATTTAGACAAAACGTTAATACAAATAAAGAACACACCATTAGGTGATACTCAAATCTATATCTATATCTATATTATATAATAACAGAAGGTTTTCAATCGCCACATATCATACAATATCGTAGCCAAAAAACTTCTTCGTCACTTGTCACTGTTAGAGATTTCTTTGCTACGTGTCAAGCTACGAGACACTCTTTCATTAAATCGTTGAACTTTTATGTAAATTGGTTACTTTAATTTACTTATAATCCATCCATTTTACCCATCTTTATTACATTCCACATATATATATGCATTAACTATCTTAATAATAATATAAAAAATTTCTATCTTTCATTGTTAATTATTTTTAATTTTTTATTAGTTCCTAATTATTCTCTTTCATGTAAATGCTCATTCACTTGATATGGGTGATGATTTGATTAATTAGTATGTATATATATGGTAATAATTCTCATCAAATTACTATTTAATTTTGAATAATAATTGTGTTTACCACCACTCACTATTTACGATTGGTTAATTTTTGAAATAATATGTTTCCAGATCCAAAAAAGTAACATGCAATTAATTATGAAAATACCTGCTAAATTAATTTGAAAACAAATACCGTCAAAATTTGTACGTGTGGAAAATTTAGAATTTCCAAATACACAAATTACGGGATTAGATAATATGTAAAGAATCCAATGATATACAAAATGGTTTATTCTTATTTATTATAGGACAAAATGCACTTTTGGTCCTTAAACTATGGGGGGTCACAACTTCTAGTCACCGTTAATTTTTACTGACAAAATTAGTCACCATCTTTTCGTTTATTCAACAATTTTAGCCAATTTAACGGTCAACTAACGATTAACTCTTTTCTCCGTTAACTTTTTTAATTTTTATTAATTTTTTACAAAACTGGGACCCACAATGTAATTTCAAACAACAAAATCAGTCTCCTAATATCTTTTTTTTCAATAATTTTAGTCATTTTAGCAGAATTTTTAAAAATTTAATAGCCCAATGCAATTTTCCTTTAAGTCTTTAATTTTTATTGATTACTTAATAGATCATGGGTCCCACAGGTCCTTGATCAGAATTTTTTTTAAGGAAAACAAATTAAACGAATAATGAAAATATTTCTGACCAACTTCTTAAACCCCAAATATTCTGCTCCTCGAGAAATAAATTTCAAAAAGAAAAAACCCGACAACGAAAACGATCCATAATGAGGCTCTTTGTCTCGGCTATTTTGCCGGCGGAGAGGTGATGGTGAGACGTTCGAGAGCAGTATATTGGGGTTTAGAAAGTTGATCGAAAATTCTTTCATTATTCTTTTAATTTGTTTTTTTTTTCAAAAAAAATACAATCTGATCAAAGACTTGCGGGACTTACAATTCATTAAGTAATCAATAAAAAATAAAGACTTAAAAAAATTGAATTGGGCCAACAAATTTTGAAAATTCTGTTAAGTGACTAAAATTGTTGAAGAAAAAGATATTAAGGGATTGATTTTATTATTTGAAAATACATTACGGGTTCCAGTTCAGTAAAAAATTAATAAAAAATACTCTCTCCGTCCCATAATTATTGTCCAGTTTGGATTTTCATTTGTAGTTCAAATTGTACTAAAAGTGAAATATCAAACTGGACAATAATTTTGGGACAGAGGGAGTAAAAAACTTAACAGAGAAAATAGTTGAACGGTAGTTGACCGTTAAATTGACTAAAATTGCTGAATAAATAAAAAGATGGTGACTAATTTTGTCAGTAAAAAATTAACGGTGACATGAAGTTGTGCCCCCCATAGTTTAGGGACCAAAAGTGCATTTTGTCCTTTTAAATTTTATCATCAACAATACCTATGACCGTTTATGTTCAAATCTTTATCACATTAATATCTATAATCCATCGTGCAACGTAATTCTATTTTGTTGCGGGATGCCGGAAATCGATTGTGGTGCTCTACTAGAACATGCCAAGTTAATTATCTTGGATGAATCCCTTATGACTCACATGCATTGTTTCGAGGCGTTAGATAGAACACTCAGAGATATATTGCGTCAGCGGAATCCCGAGAGTGAGGAAGAAGTATTCGACGATTTAGTACAACTCTAGGAGGAGATTTTTAACAGATCTTGCCGGCTATTCCAAAAGGAATCCAACAAGTGATCGTTGACGCTGCAATTAACGCATCGCCATGTGGGAACAATGTATAGTCTTGAGATTGACGCAGAACATGGGATTGCGACGGGATCTTGATACTGAATTGTCTGACGACTTAAAGAAGTTTGCATAATGATTACTCATGATCGGCGGTAGAAAATTTGGAGAGCCAAACTACAGAGAAGTCGAAGTTGACATCCCTAAAGACATTCTGGTTGAGCATATAATACTCTCTTATTACTTCAATTTGTCACGCTATATATATCGACCTATTGGCTAACCTGAACGGAGTAATTCACGACGATAAAAATGTAAGGTGTATACTCTTGAATTCCTTAATGAGATAAGGTATTCTGGTGTACCGAGCCACAAATTGACGTTGAAAAAAGGGGTACCAATTATATTTCTTTGAAATCTAGACCAGTTAGGCGGGTTGTGCAACAATATCTCTCTTCAGGTTGACGAGTTGGCAGACTGTGTCTTTGAGGCAACTATTATATCCAGATCAAATATCGAAAAAAAGTAGTCATTCCACGTAGGGACATCCAGCCTTCTGACATAAGGATATAGCAGACAGTTCCCGTTAGCAAAGTGTTTTGCTATGCCAATTAATAAAAGTCAGGGTTAATCACTCTCGCAAGTGGACCTGTTGCTGTCACGTTCAGTCTTTGCTCGTGGACAGTTATATGTTGCACTTTCTAAGGTAAAATCCAGACAGTGTCTCAAAGTACTCATATACAATAAGGAAGGAGAATTTAGCAATTGAACGAAAAATGTGTTCTTCAATGAAACACTCCAGAGGATATAAATGTTCATTAGTTTTATCGACTTTGATTCATTTCATCACTATGTCTCCAGCATTATATGTTATTATTATTTTTTTACCGCAACACTACTGAAAAGTTTCACAATTGCAAAACATTATTACCTAATATTTGCATAAGAATAATTTGTCAAT